ACACACACATACTAACAGCAGGCCATGTATGAGAACGCACCTCCACACTTTTATTCCCCGCAGGTTCACCCCAACACCACATGTGTAATATAAATGTGCAGGGGGTGAACAGTGTGAAGTCACTGAATGCAATATTCTATACATTCTTCAAAGAAAATGAGCATTTTATTTGGAGTTTGCTGGTCTTCACTCAGGGCATAGATGTAATATAAGAGAGTGTTTCTCAACCCTGGTCCTGGAGGCCCACTGCCACTTTAACTCAATAATGGACTGTAAAGAAGCTGATTGTAGGATCAGGTGAGCTGGGAGCAGGGAACACACTAAAAAGTGCAGGCCAGTAAGCCTTCAGGACCAGGGTTGAGAAACATTGGCTTAGGAGAAATACAACTGGTTCAAAATAAACAAATGATAAGCAAGTACTTCTTTGTTCAGGGCATAGATGTAATTGAAGAGAAACATAAGCAAGCACTTCTTTGTTTCTTATGCAGTATAATTGCTAAATATGTTCAAGAGTTTTTAAAAAGTTATTTCTCATGTGTTGTGTATGTATTTGCAGGTGTATACGTTTCCATTTCTGCAATCCAAGTTTCCCAAATGAGAAAATAAAGGTAAAGCTGAAGTCAAAGTCACCCCTGGACTAGAGGGCAGCTGACAAATAGTGCATGATAACAGAGTCTACAGTGATGTCCACACTTACAGTGGGCTTAAATAGATGGTTGAGCTCATAAAGTGTCCACTAAATGGAAGTAAAAGCTGGGATTTTCTAACAAAGCAGATGATGAGTTTATGCAAAACATTAATAAACTATATTTGACAAAGGCTCAGAGCTTCAAAGCATTTGACACTTGACTCCATGCTGCCCCCTGCTGCCCACTGACATTTCCTACAATTACTGTCATTTGAGTGCTCAGGGGCACACTTTCCAGCTCTGTTCCAATTTGAATGCGTTCATATGATCATATCGTCATTAAAGAAATGTACTACCAGAGTGTTTTTTTATGGGTCTATCATGGAAAACAAAAATAAAATATATTTGCTTATCAGTCATTTATTATCATCAGTTATTACTGTCTTCTTAACATGCTAATACAATAGAATTCTCACTTGATGCACAGACAAGTTTTCTCCATCTGAGGAAACTGACCTGCTGTGACTGTATTTGAAAGGCTGTTTAACCAGTTGTGCCCAGATGTGTATTTTTGTTATTAAATCACATCTGACCCTGCAAGACTAGTGACTTTTAAGCCCATTTGTGTTCTAATAAGCTCAGAGTTGTTTTCTTTCAGAAAAAAATTATTAATTTCAATAATCAGTACACTTATTAATAACAGAAGCTCAAGTACTAATAACAAATACTAAAACTGAGCCATTATTAACATAGAATTTCAACGCTGTGTGCATTTAAACTGGAGCCGTTCCTTCAACTAGCTGACGAGCTGAGTATTATAGCATTTTTAGCCAAATAAAATTCTGTCAGTCATGTTTATTTTATTATTTATATTTTTACTTATTTGTTTAATTTTATGAAGTTGTAGATATTTCAGTGAATTGAAGTTTGAGCAGTGTATTTAGTGAGAGTCAGTATAAGTTTAATAATCATTTAATTTTACTTGTTTTAATGTGTTGTTCATTTGCATCATTTACTAAAGATCAAAAGAGATGCAGCATTAAAATTATACTTCCAAATGTGCACTTCAAAATGTGTAAACATGATTCTAAGAAGGTGGAATGTAAACTCTGCAAACATTTTACTTACAGTAACAAATTCAAATATGATGGAGGTCTGCTGCTTTTCACTGTTCATTTAACTTAATAAGTAAAAATCTCTAGTGATAAATTGAATAATCTTATATTATTCCTACAACAATCTTACAATGAGAAATACTGTATTAGATATGCGGAGAGGATTTAAGATTCTTTTACTTGCCAAGATACAAGACAGTTGCACCACTCAACTAATTAAAAAAAAAATTGTGCACCCAGGGGGTTCCATTCCTACCTTTTGCCCAGAGCCCCAAGATCATTAAATCTGACCCTGTCAGCTGCCACTGCTCATTTAGCAGGTTTTATTTGTATCAGTTTATTTTTTCATAGTAACACAGTTTAAACATCAGCTTTTAAATAAAATGTGCATGACTGATTTAGTCATTTCATAAATCTCATTTATGTTTTAGGAAAATATGTATGATAAACTTAATAATTTATTTGGCAATCAAATTGGATTTCTAGACAGCACTGAACTTTAAATATCACAAGCTTTGCAACAAAAAAATAAAGAAAATAAATTTATCTTGGCCAGCTTTACTAAATATTTTTGTTGGCTCTTATGCATTTTGCATATGCAAAATGATTCTCCACTAATTCATCAACATGCATGCAGAAGCCTTTTGCATTTCAATTTAGTGAAAATTGACACTAGCAAATTTCTTATTAAAAGCAAGCTTCTCTCTCTCTCTCTCTCTCTCTCTCTCTCTCTCTCTCTCTCTCTCTCTCTCTCTCTCTCTCTAATTCTACTAATTTATTTCAGTTTCCTTTTGGGTGATGCATTAGCACTTCCCATAAGAAAAAACAAATTGTTTTTATCAAATGCATTTGAAAATCTATAAAAAATGGCTAAAAATATTTAGGGAAAAATCTTTTTCTGCCAGGTAAGGAAAAACATTTTTTATCCTTGTTTCAGGTACAAACTGTGACTCTTTAGGTCGGAATAATGGCTCATTTTCTCTAGATTTTGACTTGCCAAGTCAAAACAATTAGTTTTTACTTATAAAGAAACTAGGAGATTATTTCAACAAAATAATCATTTTGAGACATTATTTTGAAGGCATGCACACAGGCAGCAGAGGGTGCAAGACACAAATTGCATATGCAGATGAAAGTCATTATCGTTTTTAATAAAAAAAATAACTGCATACATTAATGAATCAGCAATGCACACTTAACATTAAATAGCTTCATAAACAAATTAAAACTTTTGGATGCACAATTTGATTAAATTTATGACAGCATAGTCATAAATTTGCTCACCCTAAAGTTTTAGCCCAGCGACTGATATTAAGTTACTCTAGTTGTCCATCATCTGACATCTGAGGAGAAAAATGCATCTCGGATGCCCAATTTCTGAATTAATTTTCATAAACACTCCTCAAAATGAGGAGTTTAACGTAAGTATTTCACTGTAAGAAGTTTTGGAGATAAATGAAAAAATGTAAGATCTCCTTCTGCACTGATATATGCTAAAAGACTTCTGAGATGTAAAAGAGAGTTTCATATACAAAATGATGAGCAGCTGTCAGTTATTTACCTTAGCTGACCTTAGCTAGCTTTATTGTGAGACATAATACTTGAACAGTGAGTAGCAAAACAGACACATGGAACATTTCTATTACAAGAAAACTGTTATCTATGATAAACAGCTATGTAGCATGCTGGTGAATTATAGGCCCATGACAAAACCACAGGAAGGTCCATCATGAAAAATGCTTTGCTGATAAGTGCTGTAGAGTAGGTAGTGGTGTGCACAGGACCTGTTTTTCAGTCCTGCTCCCATAAGACTTCATCCTGCTCCCGCAAAAAATCAGCGCTGTTTGTGCCACGCAACCTCACCACTTTCTCCCACCACAGCCCTCAGTCCCGTATAGCTGACTTCCATCTGCGTTACTAACGATTGAAAATGACTGGCACAAGTAAGACTTAGTCAGCTTTATTGACGTATTAAAATTTGAAATTTGCCTTTATTAATAGCACTTTCCACAGCTGTGGCCATCTGACTGTCTGAAGGCACCACAATTTCTACAGCTTAAAAGAAAGCAATTTGCATATTGTTAAGGTGATTAGTTACCTTTGAACTAGAATGAGTATTACTTTTCATTATTTTTGTGTTATTGTTTGTGTATGCTAATTATTAAGTGATTGGCATCATTTTATTTAGCATATTCATTCATTTTCTCTACACATATTATGTTGTCCCATATTTGGTGGCATTGAAATTTAGCCCTGGGCCTCAGTGTTAATCATTTATTTTCAACTTGGTGTGTAAATATCTTAATTACAGCTAGAATTTTCCAAAATCAATAATACAAGTCAGCATTTTAATAGATGCATCACACAAATATTTATCGCTGTTTAATTTCTGAAAAATCTTTTGGTCATTCTATTCTCGTCCTCTAGTCAGTTCACAATAGAAATTAGGGGTGTTAGGAGGGTTATAGTGAAAGGATGTTTGCTATTTAGGCAGTTGTGCCTTCAAAGCAGAAATGAGGGCTTCAAAAACCTATTCAGTTCTTTACTTCCTCCTTTCAAATGCATTCCCTGTTCTGACCACAGCTCATAAGAATTACCTGTCCTTGCAATGAATATTCAAAGTGCCATTAAAAACTACTGTAACTACTGTAACAAGACTATTGAGCAAGTCAGTGTGCTTTAACTAGTTAAAATGGGAGAAAAGCATAACTTGTGGTAATGTAGAAATACATGCTTTTCATTGGTCATTTGAATCCAGTTTCCTCCCTGATCTTACAATTCAACCCTTGGTAACTTTACATGTGTTAACTGATTTGGGTTATCTTACCTAGAAAACTTCCACTGTTTTGAATTATAACTGTACAGCATTAATACAATCAATGAGGCTGAAATTGAAATTCATTCTTGGTTATAGATGACTGACAATGTCTCTTTCTTTGGCAGCTCTTTCATCAGATTGCACTTTATCTTCAAAAGTTTTTGAGACTGCAAAATGAGAATAAAATAACACTTTTATTTTTCAGAAACTTTTTAAAATAACAAATATGAATAGACAACATAACAAGATAATCTGAAACATATGGCAATGAAGTGCATAGGTCAAGAGAATATGACTGAAATAAAGTAAAATTACAGCAATAAAGGGACAAAAGGAGGACAGAATAGACCATTTTTGTGGTTTAGAAGAAATTAGCTCTAAATTAGTTCAAAATGTTGTTAAAGGTTAATATTGTTCAGAATTATTGGTTAGTGATAAGTTGGGGAAATGAAAAATAAAATGTAAAATAAAGACAGAAAAAAATAGGAAAATAAAACACAAATATGTTAACAGTTCCACTAATATGTAAGCTAAAGAAGCTTGAACTGTAAAATATATTGTATTCTATGATGAAAGGAACAAAATACCAAAATAAAACAGGTATATGCTAACTGTCTCACATAAAAAATATAAAAAGTATAGAAGGAAAAAATGTTAACAGAAAAATATATCATAATATAAAAAATAGAACAAAGTAGGCAAATAAAACAGTGATATCATTACTGTCTTACTAAATAAAAAAGCATAAGCAAAAAAGCATAAACAGAATAATATGCCATAATATAAAGATAGGATGAAATGTGAAAAAAAACAGGTGCATGCTAATTGAATGAGTAAAAGGTGCTTAAACTGAAAAATATAATGCGATATAAAGATAGGAATGAAATAAGACTATATAACAAAAACGTTCAACTAAAAGAAAGAACAAAAAATATTTAAACACAAGAAGCTTAAAGTAAAAAACAAATTGTGTAATATAAAGACATGACTAACAGAGAAACATAAAACAGGGATGTGTTAATTGCCCCACTGAAACTAAAAAAGAAAGTAAAATAAAAAAAAAAAAAGCAAATTAAGCTTGATTTAATTATTCTCTATAGATAATGCTGGACAATTTGCTAGTCTGCTAACAGCTAGAGGGCGGGTCTTTGATGGGGAAAATTTTAATAAATGTTACTATATTGTTGCAACCAGATTACTATAAGATTTTTAAAAGCATTTAAACAGAACACTGTATTCTTCATTAAGGTTGGACAGAAATTCACAGGGGAATCATTCCAATGTTCTTGTTTGTGATTTTATTTGAGGAATACAGTCTTATTCTGTTGTGTTACTAACACTGTCTTACATCTGCCAGCTGTGTAAATTCTGTAGGAATCCTCACATAATTTCATCAGTTCGTCAAACTTTAAAGATAGTCTCTTTTTCATACTTCTTTCTCTTTCAATCAAGAAGTCCAGATACAGAAGTGTAGACATAACTGTAAGTTTTAAGGGAATCTCTTTCAGAATGACAAACTGATAACATTTTCCACCACGCTTTTTTCTTTTTCTTTTTCTTGTTCTTTTATATCATTCTTCAGCTCATCAGAATATATGCTATTTATTCCTCCTGTGTGGGGAAAATAATTTTACCTAGAACTACTTTAGATTTTTTGCTTTTCTATGTGTGTTTGTTCATTTGAAAGCAGAGCAATATGCTCATTTAATATAGGTTTTCCAACATATTGAGCAGCCCCTCATTTGCAGCTTCAGCTCTTTTCTTCAGTTCTTGAAGTTTCTGAACTCTCTCTGGTTTTCCTGTTTCATTCACTTTCTCAATTAGGAAGTCCAGATGATGCAGAGTAGACGCAGAGTCAGTGTTTAAGGCAATATCCTCCAGAGTGACAACACACTGATAACACTCTTCCACCAGCCTGGTTTTCTCTCTTTCATTTAACTTTATTTCATTCTCCAGTATTCTTATCAAACTCATTATCTCTCCAGATTCTTTCTCATATTTCCGTTTCAGATCTTCTTTAGTCTTCGTCACCTTTCTTGTTTTCAAAACATAGATTTTCCTCTCTTTAATATGGTAACTGTGGTCACACCTTCCCGTGCAAGCCGTGCACTTTCCATTTGACATGACGCTGCACTGTGAGAGATCTCTGACCCACCAGCATCCAGGATAATGACAGTTCTCCTCACACACTCTGCAGCAAGTCGCCTCTTTGCTCAAGTGCCACCACTTAGACTCTATTGGAATCTTTTCTTTGTAGGCTTCATCAACTACAAATTCAAAGTTATTGTTGTCCTTCATTTCTTTCTCATGTTCCTCCAAAGCTGCTTTTGTCTGTTGAAACTCCTTTTTTCTTAATTCTGACAGTTGGATGCGATCCTTTAAGTTATTGATGGATGCTGTGAGTTGTTTGCGGAGTCTCAGCACACTTTCAGTCATCTTCAGACTCACAGTTTTACAGTCATTCAGAAAAGCGAAAAAGTTTTTCATGTTTTTCTTATTTTTATCCCATGCCAATTTGTTGTATTCTTCCTCATCTTCTGTCTGATCATCATCATCATTGTGAAAGTCTTCACAGTGAGAGTTGTCAAAGCTGAAGTACACAGGCTTGCCATCATCATTTTTAGCACATCTGACTTTTGATTCTTTGATGGCTTTAAGGGCATTTGTTGGGTTTTTGGGGGCGTGAGTGATGAGCACAACAATGTTTCTCTCCACATCATTACTGAATAAAGAGAGAATGGAATCAAAAACATACAGCTGTCTGTCTGTGAGTCGAGTTGTGTTTGATGACACCACAAAACAGACTGCATCAACTTCATGTACTCCATCTTTGGATCTGAATAACTCGTGTAGAGTTTCAGCAATAATTAAATCCTTCTTAGTCCCTTTAGTGTCTCCATATCCAGGTGTGTCAATGATGCTGAGAGAGAACGGACTCTCCTCAACAAACACATCATACACAGTCACTGCATTTGTCTGAGATTTAGTTTGGCTTTCTTTCGTCTCTATGATCTCACACCAGATTCTGTCATTACATTTGACATTCAGCATGTGGTTAACAATAGCATTGATGAGAGTAGACTTCCCTGTTCCTGTTTCTCCAACCATTAATATGGTTTTATGAGGTTTTCTCTTGTCTTTTTCTCCAAAAGCCTCTCTCTTCAGTCTTTCTCCATCAATTAGAGTTCTTGTATCTATAATATATCTTGTGAGGGATCCTTTTATTGGTTTAATGGTTCTTCTGATTTCATCCAGATGTTTTCCCCGTGAGCTCTGCTTCTCATTCCTACATGGAAATCAGAGGTACATACAGTACATTCATTTCTACAGAGATTTTATGATCAACTGGCTAACTGTTATCCAACAAATGCATAAATGTTTGACCAATGCTGTCCATTAAGAACATTAATTTCTGATTAGCAATTTATATTTTAATAGGCAGGTGTTTCATTCAACTTGAGGACCATTTTGGAATTTTATGCATGAGAGTGCAAGAATGCGCTCTCATGCACAACACTGGCTTTTCTGGAGTTGACACATTGACGCTTGACTCCACTTATTTTAACTGATCGTGTCAGAGCCATTGATAAAGTGAACTGCTGATAGAGCCATTGATAAACTACATCCTAAATGTAGTTTGCACAATTTAGAGTAGCTACAGATGATTGTGATATGATGCTTTTCCATGCTTTTTGACTTTTTTGACCAACAGTCGACTCTTACACCCAGACATGAATCGCTGGTGTGACTGTGAACAGACTGCGTAGTAGATACTTATGTGGACATGCTGGTATTTCTCAATAAAAATGGTTAGAATATTTAGTCATATGACATGACTAAACACGACACGACAGTGCTAAGGTAGATTACAGCTGGCTCTTTTCAAATATAAAAACTCATTGTTTTTTGAAGCATTTGTAATTTGTGCCTAACATCTGACTGAGCTTGCTACAGTTAATGTTTGTTTGCTTGTACATCAGTTTATGATTGAATATGAGGTTGGAGCTATGGTGTGGATGATTTTCCAGACAATAAGGAAACCTTACCAAAAAGAGGAAGCTTGAAATTCTGCCATGTCTGATGTCTAGATGAGAGAAGTGATCAAACTGTCTTGTAAATAAAATCTAAGCATGAAGAATAAGAAGAATAGTTTAATTAATACAGCAAGACAACTTTTACAACAGTAACAAATTATACATACAGGTATAGGTACTTTGTGAGCTATAGCTGTGAAATAGTATATCTGTGTTTTTGTTCTATAAAGTAGACACACTAAAGTGCAGACACAAAATATTCACTTTTAATTTAAGGGCAACTACACACCACTGCTAATCAGTTTCTTTTTTTTTAACAAATGATTTTGATATTTCAAAAATCACTAGGTGTCCCTGTCAGACACATTAAAGTCTGAGCAATCTAATGAACCCCCCCCAAAAAAACCTATATATAGTCATATGCAAAAGTTTAAATATCCCTGGTCAAATTAATTTTCTAAGTTAAAATAAGTAAATACATCCTCTACAGAGAACAAACTGAAATATGACATTTTTCTGCACATTTTAGTGCACAATTTCTATTAATTTTCTAAACTAACATATAGGACAAAAATAAAATATGAAATATAAAATGTGCCATAGCTTTTGCACAGGCCATATGTTTCATTTTTTCCAATATTAAATTCAATAATTAACAGTAATTATGCATCAAACGTGCAGAGGTGTGTTCTCTCCCAGCTAACATGAAGTGTAACATGAAGTGGCCCAAGCTTGGTTGTTGTGTGGACATGGTAAGAAACATTGGAATATTGGAATGCCAGAATCAGGCTGGACATGGTTAAGGCTAGTTAACCAATATGTTGGTAAAATTTCCGCTTGCACTGAATGAGTCTTTACAGATCCAGGCCGTCACCAATGTTCCACCATGGTGTCGGGAATTGTGCACTTAGAGAAGCAGCAGCTAGAAATTTCACAATATTTCAAAACACATTGGCTACTTGGTAAATAAGGCTTATTATTTATTAATGAACTCACCTTACCAAAGTCACATCTTTTTGTTAAATATTTGCTCTCAAAATAATGTGATGGATTAAAAAATGACCTTTTTTAATTGTGAGGATGTTGAATTTCTGTTTCAATCTAATAAACTGAGGCACATACAGCTGTGAGAATTGCTATCTAATCTAGCACGCTCTGAGTGAGAGAAGTCGTGCGACTGGTGTTGGAGTGACAGAAAGGCAGAATCTAACCAGTTCTCTGATGTGTGGGGTTGTTATCTTGCTAGATAGCAGGCTAATGGCTTCTCACACCACAGGCCAGGTTCAATGATCCACTCACATAAACTAAGAGGATAAAACACAAATCTGAAGAAGCGTAGTTGAGTGACAGGAGTTACAGTTAAAACTAGGGATGCAAATTTTGGCAAATTCCTTTGACTGATAACTGACGGTTATTGGGGGTGATTAACCATTAGCATCTAACGTAGCACAAGAAATCAGATGTTAGTGTTCAGATAGTTCTTTGTGAAATATTTTAAAACCAAAAGTTTCCTTCTTGTATACTTGTGAGGTTGTCTCTCCCAAAAGACTGCTGAAAATAGATTTTTTAAACTACAGAAGACATAGTGTATACACCACTATAACACAAGGCATTATAACAGAACCAAAGTATAGAATTACTGGTATTGTTTGCAACAACCCAGTCACATATTGCTACTGTAATAGCCACTGCTTGAAGAACAGATCTGTGACCCCACCATATTTGCAGCTACAGAAGCCTCCTGACAAGGAGATATCAAAAAACTATTCTCTTTATATTTGTGCATCAGTTAAAGTACAAAAGTACTTGCTTTTAAAATCAAGGTGAATTAAAAATGATTGTGCACTGAAACAAGAAATATTGGTTAATAGCTTTTCTCTGGTAAGGGAATTTTTGTGTGATTTTAGAGGCTGGCAAAAGTTGCACTGTGATGGAAGGTAATTACCTCACAAAATGTAGGTACTTGTTTGTCTATGGGGACTGTTTTTATTGTCTACAATGAGTAAATACAAAGAGTGATAAGACAATTGGAGACAATGGTTCAACAGAAAATTACACACAGTCTGAAAAATATTCTATCCATACTATCTCTACAGTGGCCGATGAGATCCAAAACTCTGCAAAACAAGCTGCAAATGCAGGAAACACTTTTAATCAAAATGTCAGTGCTACGTTTTACAAATGCACCGGAAATACAGAACACACATGCAACTTCAGAAACACTGCAAAGTCAGTGACAACGCAATGGAATTCTGGAGGACACAAAGAGGATGGAGCCACTTAAACTTTTAAATTCTATGCAAAAAAAAATATTTAGTAAGTTAATATTTATTTGAGTAGATAACTAATATCATTGTAACATGATGGAAATCTGCTGTATAGTGTAACTGTAAAATGTAAAATAGATGACTGTTAACTACTGTAATACAGCAGTGAAAGTCAAATATCTAACTAGCCAGCCAAGTAAATCAAGAGCTTAAGTCAATCATGAACTGTGTTGTGACTGGCTTTGCAGCGTTTCTGAAGTTGCATGTGTTCTCTGTATTTGCATTGCATTGGTGAAATGTAGGTCAGGTGCAGTTTGCAGAGCATTTATGAGTTTGCAACAGGTTTTTTTATTGTACTGTGAACCGGGTCGTGTCAACCACTACATAATCTGATAACATTTTTTTCCCTGCTTCTTTCCACTGACCACCATTTGCTGAATGACAATGGTCTCTTTGCTCTAAGATGTCTGAACTACTTTTAGCTAAAGAAATTGCCAGTATTATATATCTGACCATGTATTTCAGGCTTGCCTACTTTACTTTTTTCTTTACTTTGCAAAACTATTGTGTAAGATCGTGTAAGAGTTTAAGTTTGTGTGCTGTTGTGAAAAACATATTGCATAATTGTTATATTGCCTAAATATACTACCCCTTTCACTTGTTGCTTTGTAGATTTATCTTTAATATTGTTTACTATTCTTTCAAGACTATTCCTAATCTGAGCTTTAAGAATTGTTCATTTTACAAGGTATGATACATACTGGCTGGATACATGATAATGCATATTCTTTTCTTACAATTGTGGCAGATGATTGCTTAGCTGTGTTCACCTGCATTGTTTTGTCTACATTGGGATTAGGCCTGTTTAGACATATGCAAAAAGTAATTTGAAGAGAAGGACAAATTTTTTTAAATAAATGGTTTTAATGTATTTTGTATTTTTAATGTATTTTAATTATAGTGTGACCTAAAATATAATTATAAAATAAATCATTGTTCATTTTACATAAGAATTAATCATCGTTAAAATACTCTAATTTACTGGAATCAGCCCTGTCCTGGCCCAGTGTCATTTAAAGATATAGACCTTACGCTGGACGGCTGCTGCAATCAACCTGATGACTTGGACCAGATCCGGACAATCATATAAGTTTGTATGCTGGAACATCGTGACTTTTTGCCAGCAGGTAGGAAACAGCCTGAAGATGGTCTGTGTACATTTTGCTACCTGGGCTGTAGATGATGTGTACTTCGTTTGACTTAGAAAATAAACAACGGTAATACTTTTGCATATGACTGTATATCAAACATAGATCAAATCTAACTAGTAAACAATCACAACAACCAGATTTCTAATTAGGGCTACATCCAACCTCTGATACGATAAGCTGAAGAATTCATTCATTAAAAATCTGAAAAAAGCATTCTGTGAAACACAACCTTATTTATTTTACAGCAAATACAAATACATCACTTACCTTCTCATGTGCTGATTATGATATTTTACTGTCTGTGGACAACAAAGAACTGGGTTAACGTGTACTCTGCTCGTACTTACTGCAACATTCAGACAATACACAGGAAGCTATACAGGATGTTTTAACCACAGCCAAAAAATGGTGCAGTTTTTGATTCACATTACAGAAACAGTCAACATTTGTTCTCAAGTCAACACCAGCTGCTCCAGTGGAAGACGTTCCATTATATGAGCAGATAGGTTAGTATCAGGGTTTTGGCAAATAAACTTGCAACACTACCCTTACATAGTTGTGCACAAAGTTTGGTCAAATGAAATGTGTTTTTTTTTTGGTTTTTTTTTTTTGATTTTCTAAATAAAAATAAATGAACACTACAGAGAACACACGTGAACATTCAAATGGACAATTATGGTTTCATTCTAGAATTGAACATTTTTGGAAAAAAAAAATAATAATAAAACATAAAATGTGGTCTGGCAAAAGTTATGGTACATTTTGTATTTTATATTTATTTTTTCCACTATGTTAAACTCAGCAACCACATTTTGCAGTAAAATTTTGCTGAAAAAGACATATTTTGGTGTGTTCTCTGTAGAGGATATGTTAACTTATTTACTTATTTTCGCTTAGAAAATCAATAAAAATAGCACGTTCAACCTTTTGCATAATTATCTGTGCAAAGTAAAAACTTGGGTAGTGCATCCTATTTTGAGTAAATGAATAATAATGAGTAAAACCATCAATGTCAGTCATATTAATCTATTATTATCTACTATTATTAGTTAATCAGCTTTCAAGTGAATGTAAACTCTTTCTATTACGACCCTTCTTACTTTTCAAGAACAGCTCTGTTGGGGTTTTGCCTGTTGTATTCTGTGATGTTTCTGTAACTGAATAGAAACACAATTTTCAACTGAAATCCTAGTCCTTTCTGTTTTGTCTGGACCAGCCTTTCCACTAAGTCATTTGAAGCTGTATGGAGCAGACGTTATAAGCTTCATTCCATTTTTCTGTAGAAAAGATTCAAATTCCTTGGATACTAGCTGAGCAGTACTGTTGGACACAACTTCTTCAGGGGAGTCCAAAAGCTGCAAACATTCCCCTCAACAGCTGTTATGCTTTTCATTACTTTCACCTCAGCCACAATGAATATGCATTCACTACCTGAAGAATCCAATATTTCCCTTTTTTTGCAGAATGAATATGTATCCTCGGACAAGAAATGGTCACCTCGAATCTGTATGTGTATATATATATATATATATATATATATATATATACACTGTGGATTTGGAAACATGTAATGAAGAATCAATGAATCAATGGGGGCTAAATAATATTTAGAGGCATAACAGTGGACTGTGATTGGTCTTTTTTTAAGTTCTTGGCCACATTATGGGGTGAAAAGCACCAGTCTCTTTGTTGATGTCCAGAAGATGATTTGCAAGACTAACATCATACAAACATTAGCTAGCTAACTAATATGTAAGTCAGTCTGACACACCATCTGTGTCTGTATGAAATTCATGATCTCTGAATGATCAAGAGCCACAGTTTGATGGCAAACTGCCATCACAGACCACCTGGAGCATTTTGCTGTAAGACACAGTACAAGAGGAATATTATATGGAGATGAATGTATTATAGATGTTGACAGAAGAATTATACAGCACAGTTAGTAAGGATCTGGAAGATTTTTGTATTGCTGTTCTGTATTGTGCTATAATAACCTATATGATCACCTACATATTATATTTCTCTAGTTCTGTCTATTATTATTATTACTATTACTGAATTATTCTTGAGTAGTACCTTACAGAAAACAATTGTCCCAATGTGCTGTAAGGTTCTTGCAGGAATCCTATAGAAATGCCTGTAGTATTAGATCTTTTTTATATAAGAATGAATTAAAATTAAGTCACATTAGCTTGTAAATATTATCTGAGATAATTTTTCTTTAGTTTTAATATAAATAGTGTGTAGCAAAGAATTGATGATCTATTTACTCATAGTTTCTGAATTGAAGTGGAGGTTATTTAAAGAGACCATAAAGCATGATGCAACAGAATCACAGGTTTACCAAGACAAAAGTGCAGACAAGCCAATGCAACAGCAACAGGTAGAGCAGAGAGAGAGACAGATAATGAGTGGAGTAAGAGATAAAATTATAAGGAAAAGAGGAGAGTGATAGACGTTACAGAAGTACATTTTGAGAGCTGAGAGGAAGGGTGAGTTCTGTGTACATGCAAACTGCATCAGGTTTTTTTTTTTTTACTTTACATCTTAAATTAGCCTTTATTTTCTGAAACTTGCCCAAAGACAAACTGCAAACTACAAACATTTTTGCCCTGCTGCCTCCTGACTAAATAGTACCTTGAGGAAAAGCAGTAGAATCTTTAAATCTGATTTTCTCAGTTTTGGCTTCTCAGAGCTAGTGGATTTAAAATGTCTTAACAACCTGGTCTCTGATTAAGGAATCTTAAAAATTCATAAAGGAACAGACTTTTAATAAACATTTAAATGATAAAATGTCCAAATTTCATAATGGATAGGGAGTGTGCATGTCACATTTTATTGTAATAGCTCAAGTTAAATGAAGGAGATAGCAGGATAACAAAGAGAAGGATAAAGATAGCAGTTTAACAGGGATATACTGTGGCATGAATGTGTTTGTAGCTGTATTGCTACTGGCCATATTTATCTCAGCCGTAATATTGTTTAATCAAATGAATGTATGTTCTACGCTTAGCTAGCCATATTTAAATCTAGCTACCATTATCTGGCAGGGACATTAGCAGAGACAATACGAGGACATCTAATAAGAAGGATGAGTTATATCTTTTGACAGTCCCTAAGATCAACAAAACTGTTCACAAACTAACCTCCAGGATGAGTGCAAGAGCCTAAAACGTAAACCTAACTACCTAAACAGATAAGGTATTATCTATGAAATATTCTGTGTGGGTGCACTTAAGCCTATTCTTAAAGCTAGAAAAAATGTCTGCCAAAGAAGCATTATGCTGTCTCAAGATTACATATGATCTGGTTATTAATAAGGAAGAATTTCTATGGGCACAGATTTTAATTTTATTGTTAGATTCATACCATCATTATGATCATCATTATGAAATCATAATTTCTCTCTTTTTATCCTTACATTTGTTTTACAATATCTCAGACAACATATGGCTCTGATCAGAATAAGACATGGGGAGAAATTTACAAAAAGAAGTGTGAATTATCAACAGCCTACCAACTATTTGCAACAGTGGGCGTAAATTTAGCAGGTTATCTGCTAAGAACTTCCATGCAAATGCATACCAAGACTATTTTTTTAACTATTTGGTTTTTATGTCACATGGTTTCCAAATGCACTCAACTCACGTTTAGCTCATCCCACCAACTGAAAACAACAAACACAACAACAACAACAACAACAACAACGACAATAATAATAATAATAATAATAATGTGTTTTTGAACAGAAAGTAATGTGACATGGCAGGCATTCACAGGTATTTTTTTTCTTTAGGAAATGAATAAATGTGTTTGAGAAATGCACTCTTTTTTCTTTGTGCATAAACACTGGCAGCCTTTTTATTGACAAAAATAAGAGGGGCTTTTCTCAAAACAAGGGCAATTATATCTGACATTGTGTAAGACAGAACCGTGATGTCTATAAACTGAACCAATGGTTTGGTGCATGAGAATTGCTTTTCTTTATTCACTTATTTATTTTATATATAACTCTGCCTTGTGTTCACATGTTTTGTCATTATAATTACTATTAGTAGTAGAAATATTCTCAACTGCTGTAAATGTTTTTCTTTTAATGTGTCAAAGCTGGGAGCATAATCTCTACCTTGTGTCGTCTTCATCTAAATCATGAAAAGCAGGCCACTGCATTTTTTTCATGGGTCTGTCTTGCAAATAATTTGATCACTCAAAGATCCACTTTGAGTAGAACAAGGAAACCTGTCAACCATTCCATGTAATGAGATAATTGGCTCAGTGTAGACCAAAGCAGCCTCAGAGAAGATAAACAGTGAGATGAAAGAATGGAGGAGTTGGATTAAAAGAATAAGAAAACAAACCTCTCCACAGAGCTTAAGTTGTGCAGCATAAGGAAAGAAGCACACTTTCCTTTTTTTGACTGAGAATTTTCAAGCCTCAGATAAATCAAGACTGTCAGAAGTTGTTCTGAGCACAGAAAGTCAGAAATTTACTATGATATTCAAAATCAACACTGATTTTTGGGCTGTGCGTACTTATGAATATAAATTATGTTAATTCTGTTCTTAGATTCTGCTCATGTTATCAGTTCATTTTGTTCATATTATTAGTTCATTATATTCATGTTATCAGTTTGTTATATTCATATTATCAGTCCATTTTGTTCATATTGTCAGTACACTTTATCTATATTTGTTTTCTTTTATATATTTGTATTCTTTTTTAAAAGTTAAAATGAATATTTCCCAGATTCTTGCATGTAGATGTAACATTAAAAGGTTGTCATAGATCACTGATTATGTTTTACTAATGGCTGTAATCAATTCTGAAATAAATTTATAAAAAATAAAATGAAAACTGTAGTTTTAAAATCAAAACTGTTTGCAGCAAACAAAGATGCTAAGTATTCCTGCCACTGATGACTCATACATATACAAATACATTCACTCAAGACAGATGGCTGACCTAGACAAAGCCATGTATTGTGTCGTAAGGTGTAATGTAACTGAACCAAAAATATTTAACAATATATTTTAAGAATGTATTCCTTCACTGAGAAGCCCTACAAAGCTATTTCTACACTCTGCTATGAGAGTAAATTATTGAATAGGAATAGGATACCCAATGTCAGTAGCTGTGTGCATCCTGTATTATCTATAACAATGAAAATATCCTGTTATAAGGAGTGAGACTGAAACACACTGAGACTGTCACACACACACACACACACACACACACACACACACACACACACACACACACGCACACACACACACATTTATAATACTTTAGCTGGTCATTGTTAATTTATTCCTTAATTTGATGAGCATTTTGTTGAAGTTTTCAGAATATAAAACATG